GCCTCTCGTATGCGCGGGCAGAAGGCCTTGCTCGGCAGGGAATACCTCGACCGAGACCCCTCGCCGTCGTACCAAAAGAGGCAGGACACCCAGCTCGCGATGGGACGTCCACGCCCCGGGGAGAACTACCCCCGAAACGGCCCGGCTACATCGCCGGCCAAACCGGCCAGTTCCCTGCACTACCGGTAACAAATTGTCGAGCTAACACCCAAACACTACCGAGCGCACACTTAGAAAATTTACAAGAAAATGTCATACACACCAGAGGCATTCAAAAGCATTCAAACAAACACGAAGAACGAGCATAAACGACATGCAAATAACGAGCGCACACTTAGAAAATCCACGAAAAATATATTAAACAAAAGCGGGCACCAGCCCAGTAGTCAATGGTACAAATACAGAGCACGCAGGCCCAAAGAAAAAGATCACAAACATCGGCACGCAGGCCATAAAAACAACGAGCACGCAGGCCCGGCAACCTATGCTTCCTCGTCCACCCGGTCAGCAGTCGCGGGTTCCTCCTCGGGGATAACAAGATAGGGATCGACCACCTTCCCGTCGACAATCTCGTGGTACGGCCCGATCCCGTCCACAGCCAGCACGACACCAGGATTGGCGACCTGAACCTGCTCGACAGCACTCTTGAACCCGACCTCAACAGCCTCCAGACAGTCGCTTTCCAACACCCGAATACGAGCGATCAGGTCAGCACGAGTGATTAACCGCCGATCTCCATCTGTCTCGTCCTCGGCCGGACGGACCGCGCTGTCCAAAAATTCCGTGCGAACCTTCAGCGCCTGCACCTCGGCCGTCGCTGTCCCCAGTTTCTCCTCCAGCGAAATCACCTTCCCCTCAGCACCCTCCGCCCGTTTCCGCTGCTCAGCAACAACCTTCTGGCTCTTCTCCAACTCCTCAGCGAGCTTGGCCAACCGCGACTGCGTGAAAGTAAGATCCCCTTGCAGTTTGGACAGCTCAGCAGCGGAGCAGCCCTCCTCGTTCAGCACAAGAGCCGTCGTGAACGTCCGCATCATTGCGGCCAAGTCCTCAGCCAGAACACGTCGACGAGTCTCTCGATCGGCCTGACGAACAGCCTTCACCTCCCCAGCGGAGACAGTGGGAGAACGGGCACCATGAAAATATCCCGGATGCTGGTGGCAGGGCGGGACGACATAACCTTCCTCGGCGGTGCCGACCGTCAGATCCACCACTCGGGGCTCCTCGGACCTTTGCCTCTTCGACGCTCCTTGAGACGTAGGAGATTGGCTCTCTTGAGGCGAAGAGGACGAACTTTGCCGCCCCGGCATCGCGACCTCTTGTCCGACCAGCTGGCTCACCCTCGTCCTTGGGGTCGCGACATTCCTAGCAGCACGCAACTGCTTCACCCGCTCCTCGACGGAAGACATGTTCACTGCAAAAACAGAAAAGAGTTAGCGACAGTCAAAAGCCCCGACCACCGGGAGAAAAACAAAACATTCCTACCTAGGTAATCCAGAGCGGCCGCCCCGGTCGCACAGCCGAGCAGGGTCTTAGTATTTGTCAAACGCTTCTTGGTGCGTACATTCCCCTGCGCGTCAAGGATATACTGACCGTCGGGCGTCACCAGCTTCGACGGAGGGAGGGACCGCACAAAAGCAACTATTTTCAAATAGGAGGCCATGTCCTTCTCCTCGAGGGTCTCCGCCCGGACGATATACCTATCCGTCCCTCGGCTGAAATGCTCGGCTGAAAAGCTTCTTCGTCGGAAATCTGTTTAATATATATGTTGCTGTCGAAACTGCTTATCCCCATAATTCTTTAGGTAGATACTTTCCATTCAACATACTTTTCACCATATTCATGATGGTTCTGTTCTTGCGTTCTGCAATCCCATTTTGCTGTGGAGTGTAGGGCAGCACCACCTCGTGCACAATCCCTTCTTTTACACATAGTGTATCGAACTCTTTCGACACATACTCTCCACCATCATCAGTCCTCAGAATTTTCAGCTTTCGACCACTCTGTCTTTCGACCATTGACTTGGATCTCGAAAATATCTCAATCACATCACTTTTCTTCTTGATGAGGTAAGTCCACAACTTTCACTTATAATCATCTATAAACGTGATAAAGTATCTATTGCCACCAATCGAATCCACCTGGTTTGGACCACATACATCAGAGTATATGACTTCAAGTATTGCCTTCGACTTCCTTCCTGCATCCTTGCTGAAGCTATTCTTGTGTTGTTTCGACTGAACACACTCCTCACAGACTTCACTTGGAATGTCGATTTCTGGTAATCCTGAAACCATATTTCTTCTCTTCAGTTCTCTGATGTCATTAAAGTTTAGATGACCTAGTCGAAAATGCCATAACCGCTCACCTCTGTTGGCTACAGTTGCTAGACACTTGTGCTCCATCACATTGAGTTCAATCTTGAAGGTCCTATTTTGAAACATTGGAGCCTTCAAGATTAATCTACCACCTGTGTCGAGAACTCTCATCATCTTGTCTTCGACAACTACCTTGTAGTTCTTTTCGACAAGCTGCCATATACTGAGCAAATTACTCTTCATGCCTGGTATGTACAACACATTGGAAATTGCTGACCTTTTTCCATCTTTCCTCATAACCAGAACATCACCAACACCTTCAGTTGCTAGAGTGTTGTCATTTGCAAACTTCATTGTGTTCTTCGACAAGGGCTTCATGTTGACAAACCAATCTTTTCTTCCAGTCATGTGTGATGAGCATCCTGAGTCCAAGTACCACTGATCTTGGAATCTTTCTTTATCTTTTGTTGTGACCATTAGCAACGTTTCTTCTTCTTCATGTTTCGCCAGCTTTGCATCAGTCTCTTGATTTCTCTTCCTTTTTGGATAATCACTAACATAATGACCATACTTCTGGAAATTGAAACACTGAATGTGACTTTTGTCTGTCTTTCGACCACCATCTCTTCCTTTACCTGCAACACCACCTCTTTGGTTGCCTTGGTTCCAAGGTTTCTTCTGATTCGACTGGTTTCCTCCTTTGTTGCCATTCCAGCTACCTTTGCCTTTTCTTTTCTTTTCTGACTGCGCCTGCAAAGCCATATCTTTCGACTTTCTTGCAACTCTCTCATCCATCCTCTGTTCATGAGACTCAAGATTACCTTGAAGCTCTTCCTTCGTCAACACTAACAGATCTTTCGACTCTTCTATGGCAACTACCACGTGATCGAATTTTGGAGCCAACGATCTCAAAATCTTTGAGATAACTGCTTTCATCGTCAGCGCTTCTTCACATACTTTGATTTGATTCACCAACTTTGTAACTCTAGTGAAGAAATCTGTAATGCTTTCATTGTCTTCCATCTGAAGCAACTCATTGGTTCTCTTGTGAGTTTGTAACCCCACCTCTTTCACCTTCTCTGCGCCTCCAAACGACTTTTCAAGAATCTCCCATGCTTCTTTTGCTGAATCAACATCACTAACCTTTTCAAAGTTATCAGGATCAACACACTGATGAATTATAAAGAGCGTTTTATAATCCTTCTTCTTCAATTCTTTGTGCGCAACCTTTTTTGCCTCCGTTGCGTTCTCCCCAAGCGATGTTACTTTGTCCTTCACAAGATCCCAAAGATTTTAATAACAGAAAATCACCTTAATCTGCTTGCACCAATTCTCATAATTGTCTTTCTTGAGAATTGACAGGGTCGCTGGAAAGTTGCCGTTCGGATAGTTCATCGCCATCACTATCTTCCTTCCTTGAATCTCTCAACCGGAACTCTAGATACCAGATGTTGGAAATTCACCTCACACCCTATGAAGAATTCTCTTCAATCTTGATCTCAAGATTGATGAACAAACCCACAATATGATAGTAATGGTGATAACAAGTAAAGAGTTATCAAGAACAACAAAAGAGAAGAAGAATAACAAACAAACAGCAAGAAAAAGAAGAAATATTTGGAGAAAATTGTGTTATCCACAAACTGTGGGATTTCTGATTACTATTGAACTTTCACTTGCTAAACTCTGCAACTGTGAAATCTGTTCTATGTTTGATTACAAAGCAAGACACCTATTTATAGTTTTAGGTTTACAAAATCCCAAAACATAAAAGACCCAAAATATTCAAAATCAAATCTAATCTAAATCATATCAAATCTCATCAAAACAAATTTGTGTCAAAACAAACTGTTTCGACACACTGAAAGCTTCGCCACTTGATTTAGACTTCGACTGCTTCCTTGCTATTTCGACTTCGACACACTATGAATTACATTTAACACTAACATGCAACACCCTTGTACAAACATAGACTCAAATATGCAAAACTAAGAGTTATCAAAACACATACAACTCTAGCACTCCAAATTATGCTATGCAAATGAGTTAGATGGTTTCGTAAGATGGTTTAGGTTCAGGTATGATTTAATTGGGAAAATCTCAACTCTTAAGTTTGGTTGGACATAAAATCTTGAAAATTTCTATATAGAGGGACATCCCTCATTTTAAAGTCGGTTTTGTAAGGATGAATTAGGTCAAACTCTAATATAGTTTATGAGCCTATCGATCGGATCACGAGCTGCTCACTGTTTATATCCACACACCAAATCTAAAAGAGTGTTGAAGGAGTGTATTGGAAAAATTCTAGATGTGTGAAAGTGTATTGGGAAAATGCTGGGCGTGAAGGGATGTATTGAAAAAATCTCAAATTATTGAAAACGTTTATATAGAGCGATATCCCTCACTTTACAAACCAATTTTGTAAGGAAGAGTTTTTTAACCCTATTTTAAATTCATTTTTGTTGTAACTATTTCTAAAAATGTATCATAAAGAACTAAGTTGTACATATGGAATAACATACTAACCAAATTTCAATATTACATCATTACACTAGTTCACCACAAAAATTAGAAAACACACTATGATCTGATTAAGCGCAAGAAATTAAAAAAAAAAAAAGCACAATAATATTGGAAGTTACTAGAACTCTTAATCTTTCTTAACTACTCACTCACCAAAACATATTATGAGAGCTTCAATTTGACCCTTACATGACCTTTAGAAATCTGAAATTGTTCTGTTATGCCTAAATGAGCCATCAAAAGCCACACATGGGTAAGCAACTCACCCCCCTGGCTCAGTTGCTTAGCATGATTAAGTCCTCTGCATTGGCTTGCTGCATGACACAACATCTCCACCCATACATTACTTATCATTTTCCATTTCCTTTCTTTCGACCAGTTCTCCTCCGTTTCTAGAGACTGTAGTGATTTCGCAAGCCTACATGCATCAAACAGCACAGATTTGCTTCTATCGCCTTTAACCTCTGATGGTGAAATAGTTGTATTCACTCTAAGTATCATCTTGCAAACTTCACTTCTTTTTTTAATGTATTTTCTCTCTTTCAAAAGTTCATCCACCTCTGCACATGTGTCTTCAAATCTGATCTGTCCTATTCCATTTGGCAGCAAAAAAGGACATATAACAAGAAGATATAACATATAATTAGACACCAATTGGCTTTTTTCACAACTTTGGAGAGCAACACCGTTTAAGTTTTGAGACTCGTCATCATCTAAATAGCAAAGATCTGTAGCAATATGCCAAAGCAAAATGCTCTGATCAAACTCAACCTCCTTGATGCTCTGGTTAATGTCACGAATATTATGACAGTTCCATTTGGTAAGAACTCGATCACCCTTGTGAGCACATAATTTCTTACATGCTTCAGTGTCTGTTGCTTCCACGGATTTATCCTTAAGCTGATCAAATATGAGTTCTTTCAATCCCTCAGAGACTTGTTTTGTTTTTTGGTAGTAAAACTTCTCGAAAAAGTTATAAATTCGAAGGAGTTTCTGAATTTCAATACATTTGACAGACTCTTCTTTCAAGCAGAATCTTATGAGGTTGAATTGTGACATTTTATTAGACCACCTGATAGTGTGTGAGAGTTTGAAACAAATTTGACAAAAGGAGACGAGCTTGTAGAGAAGATCCACTCTCCAATTCTTATGCTGGCTCAGCCAATTCATCACCCAACTTGAAGAAAGTAAGACAATGACAGCATACATCTCAAGAACAATAGCTCCAATGAAAAGCACAAAAGTGATAATCAGGTCATAATTCCAGTGTTTCTGTCCTTTATTGTCGAGTTTAAAAAATTCATTTTTGTTAGACATCAGAAAATAAAAGGCGATGAATGAAGAAAGTGTACAGAAAAAGCTCACAGATTTGAGGAAGATGCCACGGTAGGAGTATGTTATGGCTGCCTTTGTATACAGCATATCATATATTAATCCTAGCTCAACCTCAATTGCTTTAAAAGCACTTTTCCAATTAGAACCGTAAAAGAAAAATTGGCTGCTTCTGTGGTCTTGAAAACTGAAGATAAGATCTGCAAATAGGCACTCAGGAATGTTGTAGAATTTGAATCCGTCGCTTAAAGCTTGACCATCAGGAATATTTGGATTTGGTATAGTGGTTCCCCCTTGAGAATTATGATCCAATACTAAGGGAGTAGTTTCATTAATTTCGTCTAAAGTAACATGATATCCTTCATCTATTTTAGCAGTGTAATCGTCCATGAATTTAGCATAGTTTGGTCCTGGATCTGGCGGAGGGAGAATTGATTCTCTGAATCCATCGCTGCTTCCTGACCGCAACGACCAAGTCTTCTCCCCGTATTTGATTATTCCTGCAATGATAATAGGAACAGTGACATACTTAAGAGGATCAGTGTTCCATGATCGGTAAACAACATAAACTGCAACAGCTAGCTGGTAGAGTAACTCCAGCATATGCCGTGGCCAGAGTTGGTTGTCTTCAAGGGAGTAGGCAGTGATTGTGTCAGGACCTCCAAGATGCACAAGAAGAAATGGCGCCCATATGGCCATAATTACAAAGTCGGAATCTGATTTACGATCCTTGGTGTCTTTGGAAAGAATTCCCAAAGCAACGGTAGCAACCCAATCAGCTGAGAGATAAGTGAACCATATCAACAATTTAAGTCTTTTAGAAACTATGTACTTCCTTCGGTTTCCCAAAAAGATGAGTAGCATTTGTAAGAAGAGACTAACAGCAACCAAAATCCGAAGTTCCAATACATTCCACACTTTTGCCAGATTAGGAATATTCTGGTTATCAGGTTTTGTTTCTCTTGAAAATATCAGACTGGCAGAGGCAACAACTGATAAAGAAAACATTGCTTTCTTAGCCTTTTTAGAAAGAAAAGTGGGAGCAATATTGAAATTTGAATAAATAAAAACTGAAACAAACAATTTTCTTACCTGCTAGTAACATTGCTTGCTTCTCTGCTTCAACTTTTGATTACTATTATGTGCTCACACCTTTTAAAATTTTGTGTTGAATGTATTAATAGGAAAATGCCAAACAGACCAAATTGAGAATATAACTAAAGGAGAGAGATGTGTAGCAGTACATGTATAATAAACAAAACCATTTCATTTCATTTTGTGGGACTGTCTTGTTAGTAGGAAAGATATGTTTTATCAAGTAGCAGTTCTGGTCAATAATATACAGCCACCCATCAACCACAACAAATATCTCCACCTCGGTCGTGCCATTAATAAAAAATGCTAAATAATTGATATTGATAGTACATTCAAAAAAAATAATTCTATGCTATTTTAATGTTGTTATTACAATTCAATCGTTAATATTAGAGTTATTTTGTCAATTGATAGTACATTCAAAAAATAATTCTATGATATTCTATGATAAAAAATTTTAATATTTATCAATGAACTTGTCTCATAATTTATTTATTTTTGTATTTTTCGAATACAAATATTTTTGTAGTTTTTAATATTTGTATTTTGTATTATTTTATTATATAGGATGATTATGTTTAGAATTTGAATTTAAAAAATAAATTTATGAAATTATGATATTTTGAATTTTTGAATTTTTGTAAACGTCTTTAAATTTTTAGTGACTGGGTCAGCCGCTTTGTCGGGTTTAAAAACTATATAGTTTTGTTATAGAGATCCGTTATTCAATCGAATTATCTGATTTAGTCAATCAATTCGACCAATGACAAAATACCCCATCAGTTTGATGATCGATTTAATTTTTAAAATATTACTTATGAGAGAGAATGAGTTATTTTTTAAATTTTGATCTATTAGAGAAAGGAATGAATTGATAAATAATATGATTAACTTGATTAACAAGTTGTTAAATATAAATTGTTTATTTAAAAAGACACATTTTATGGGGTTTTAACTAGCTTGCATGAAAAGGAAATGACTTTTTTTTTCTTGGTTAGTTTAATGACCGAAATTTCATATTTTAAAGGATTAAAGTTTGATGCCCCGAATTTCACTTTGCATCCGTATATTCGAATATCTTTGTATTTACATCTTATGGTCACTATTATAAGTAAATTTTATTCTTTTTGTTTATTCAACGAGTGATGTATCTGGATTATATATCGACTAGATACATCAATTGTTAAATGAATTTAAAAAATCCAATTTATCGAAGGATGTATCAAATAAGCCAATTTATCCAGATAAAAATAACCATTATTGCAACTATTGATTTCTACTTTATTCTTAACAACACCATAAGTAGGGATGAGATTATATCAAATTAATCTAAAGAGTCTATAGTCTAACTTATTTAAGTTTGGTATGTCCGGACCTATTTAATAAAAAGGTTACGTTTAAATTTTTTAAAAACCTTTTTATTTAAATAAATCAGATTTAGGTTATAAAAAAACTTATGAAACCTTATAGATCGACCTATATATGCATATCTATTAAAAAATATATTAAATATATAGTAGATAAAATATTTTGTTGTTTATGTAAAAAATAGGTAAAATAGACTATTTAAAAATCTTAATGTAAAATGTGATTTTATATATGTTTTCGAGATAGGTCAAAATCTTTAAAAAGTCAAGTATGACAAAAAAAAAACTTATATAAAGAGATAATTATTTAAAAAATTTGAGGTTAAGCACTTTATAAGTAAGAAGACTCATAAACCTATCACCTTAAGACTTTGGGTGAATATATGATGTCTCTCTCACTTGTTTGGATGAGTCTTTAACTTTTAGATAAGTGTTTGATCCAATATAAATGTTTTTCATGACTCATCAATATTTTCTACAATAACCTACTTTTGAAATAAAATGTCTAATATTCCCTACTTTTAAAAAAAATAAAATTCTTAATATAACTCAATTTTTTAGCATTAAGTCACTCATTGGTCTATGATACCTTAAGAGATAATTTTATAAAGACAAGGTCACCCATTAGTTTATGTCTTTTGTTTTTTTTTAAAACCATTTTGTAAGAATTTTAAACCACTACAAATACATAAAACTTTTAACTGTTATGGTATATTGCGGAGGTGAATAACCATTTAAAAATGTTTCAAAAATCCCGGTCATATAAGAGTTTTTTTTCCCAGTATTTAAAGAAAAAAACCTAGGCCAATGGATGACCGAGAGAGTCTTTATCAAATTACTCGGTTATGATACCCTCTAGCCAATGAATGACTAAGTGTTAAAAAAAATTGGATTATATTAAAATATTTTTAAATAGGACATATTAAACATTTTATTTCAAAAGAAAGGCACTGCATAGAAATAAGAAAGCAGTGAAGTGGGGTTTTATTTGACTTCTAATGACTCACTCACATGCCGACAGCTCCAACTCATACTTATATTATATTGATCGGCCTGAAACTAATTAATCAGACCAACATCTTCTTTAGCCTCTTCCGTATTCAAACATTTTCTTTATCTAAATGTGAGCAAAATTACATTCCAAAATCAAATCCTTACTCATTTTTGAAAATTAAGCATGTTAAGCAGAGCTCATCATCATCTACTTCACTTTAGCATGTTTTTCAGAAGCATAACAGACCTAAGAGGCCGTATGGTACCAGAAGTTGTAAACACACTATCTAAATCCGTGGCTGATGAGCGTGAAGTGTTAACCGTGGATGTGAAGAAGCAAGTTGAATGGATTGAAAAAGAGCTGAGCTCAATGCAGGGATTGTTAGAACATCTTCAACAGCAGAGATACAACAATCAGGAACAAGCCTTGAATGACTGGGAAGAAAAGTTGAATACCATTGCCCGTGATGCAAAGGATCTCATAGAAACCTTCCGGATGAAAACAGTGAACATGAGGAGATGGGGATTTTTGTATTGGAAGGACAAATACAAGGTTAGAAAAGAGGTGCTGCAGATTCGCGCGAGGTTGATAGACATCTCTCAGACTGGAATAAACTTAAACACCGGGGATGTCAGGATCCCCGTTGAAACAACTCCACCAGGAGAAGATGCATCTTCATCTGCCATCTCAGGAGTAGTGGTCACAGCAATACAGAAACTTGACCATATTCTGAGTCAAACTCAAGTTACCGGTGATGAGGTGATCGAAATGGTGGAACAAGTAAAAGGCGAACTCTCTTACCTGCAAAATATTGGGTATAATTTGAAGTTAATAAATGAAAGAGAAAATTTGTGGTTGAAAGAGGTGAAGAAGGTTTGTAACGATACAGAACGTATTGCACAGAATTTCATCGTTACCAAGGAAAGATGGTCTAAAATAGACAAGCTTGAGAAGTTACTTTTTCGTGGAAATAATTATGCTTCTGAAGAAGAATTTAAGAAGAAGATGACATATATTAGGACACAAATTGGAGATGCATTTCGGAGAAATTTGACTTACGAAGTCGGGGAGCAATTAGATAAACATACAACGCCAATTACAACACCCTTACCAGAGTTGTCACCAGAGAGTTTGTTAAGAAGTGTTCTCTTTTCTAATGTCGTATTTCCGATGGAATTGCTTGTGAAGTTGTGGTGGTACGTGGACAAGAATTTGGAGAGCGTGCAAAGAGATTTAGATCTAATGCTTGCCTTTCTTAGGGATACTGCTGCTGAAAGTGAACAAGGCCTGAATCTGAATGAAAGACAAAGAGTATGGCTATGTCAATTAAAACTTATGGCTCAAAATGCCCACTCCCTTGTTGATGCATATGCAAAGGCTGGGTTTCTTTGGGGTTTTGTCAGAAGATTTCAGTATGCCAAGGGCATCAACTACATGTTGAAGGAGATTCTTAGTATCTCACAGAAAAAGAACATTTACGGCGTAGCAAATATTCTAGGAACACAGCAAGAGCTTGCTCGGGCTACAACTTCTAGCCCAAGCATACAAGAAAATCTTGTTGAACCTCGGCCAGTTCCAGCTACTGCCTCGTATCTTCATTTGACAGGGCTGAAAGGGAAAGTCCAATCAATGAGAGAAGAAGTGGAATTGATGGATGCGCTGGCTTGGGATGTACAAAATATGGGGGGAGAATTAGACAGAAGATCTAGAATCTGGGTGGACCAAATGAAAGGCATTGCTACTGAAGCTAGATCTATCATCGACGAGTATGACACTAAATTGAAGCATAAGTCATTAGTTCCCATGATATTTGACAAGAACCTGACCTGGCATTTTCTCCATGACAAGATAGACAATATCAGGAAAAAAATTGACGATACATGGAGAAGAAGAAAGACATACGATTTGGTGCATATTCAAAGTCGAGCCGTGTCATCAGCGACAGTTCAAATATTACATGGAAGGACGCAACCGCGTGTATTTGTAGCTGCAGAAAAAGAATCCTGCATCCTTGGATTTGATGAAGACGCACAAGTTCTGATAGCTCAGTTATTGTCGGGTGAGAAACGTCACTGCATTACTTGGATTGTTGGAATTGGAGGCACGGGCAAAACAACATTAGCCAATATGATATGGGAAGACAAGGCTGTTGTGGATCATTTTGACTGTCAAATATGGGTGTCGGTACCTTCAACATCAAGCTCAAATTCAAATTATACAGCACAACAGCTTCTTGAAGAAATTGCCAAGGAGTCTGCAAAGCAAACTGAGGGAACCTTGTCAAGTGATCTTGTGCTCGAAGCCTTGGCGCACAAAAGGTATCTAATAGTTGTTGATGGCATAGAAGAAACTAATTCCGAAGTGTACCTGTTGAATACCGTGAAAGAGGCCATACCCGATATGTTAACGAGCAGCAGACTTCTTCTTACCACTCGCAACACAAATGTAGCCCAACATACTGCTGGTACTATAACCTTTGTTCACCCACTACAGTTATTAGATGATGAAAGTAGTTGGTTGCTATTTAGGAGACATTTGAAGATGGACACTATTCCCCGAGAACTCGAGACGGTTGGAAAAAAATTTGTGGCAAAATGCGGGGGTCTTCCATCTCAAATAGTAAAAATGAGTGATTTGCTTTCACATGAAGAAGACACCACACGTACACGTGAAGAGTGGTTATGCGTATTTAAACAAATTCAAGATCAAATACAGAGTTGGTCTGAAGCACCAATCAATACAGACTTACCTTTGTATCTAAGGAGATGTTTATCTTACTTTATCCTATTCCCCGATGAATTTGAGATTCCTGTTAGAAGACTAGTTATTTTGTGGGTTGCAGAGAATCTGGCTCATCATTCAGAAGAAGACGATGTTCCCCCGGAGCTAGTTGCAGAAAGGTACTTGACAGAATTGATAGATCGGAACATGGTTCAAGTTGCAGCAAGAAAGCGTAACGGCAAGGTCAAGACATGTCGTCTCCCCAATGCTTTGAGACAACTCTGGTTGACAGACTCCGGGTCTCTACAAGGCCGCCGAACTACCACAGATATGAATGCAGACCCAAGAAACTCCATTATTCATCGGGTGGCAGATCATCTAAATAGTGAAGATGTCTGGCACGATCATATTCATGGTAACACAAGTCTTAAGTCATCTTCCCTGGGAACCTACTACAAGGATGTTCTCTCCTTTATGTCCTTCGATTCTCAAGAAGGAAGTAAACCTGGGCAGCAAATTGGTAACTTTCTCAAGGGGTGTATTTCAAGCGATTGCTTCTTACTCCTTCGGGTACTTGATCTTGAACGCGTTTACAAGCCCAAGTTGCCTAAACGCATAGCAAGACTTACTCGGCTAAGGTATCTTGGCTTGAGATGGACCTACTTAGAGTCACTTCCATCATCTATAAGCAATTTGTTGAAGCTGCAGACACTTGATCTCAAACATACTTACATACATACTCTACCTACCTCCATTTGGAAGATGGAACTCAGACACCTGTTCTTGAGTGAGACTTACCGCACCAGGTTTCCACCTCAACCTAAAGATAATTCACTATCTGACCTCCAAACTTTGTCAGGACTGTTTGTAGACGAGGAGACTTCAGTCCAGGGTGGCTTGGACAATTTGGTCAACATCAAAAAATTGGGATTAGCATGCCAATCAATGTCATTACAGGAAGGGGCAATGAAAAAACAACTTGAAGCAGTGGCTGATTGGATCACAAAACTGGAACACCTTCAATCACTGAGACTAAAATCAAGGGATGAACAAGGGAAGCCTTGGGTTTTACATTTGAACTCTTTTGTAAATCATACAAATCTCACTGACATATATTTGCTGGGAAGCTTGAACAGTTCAAATGTTCTGTCCCAGTTTCCACTTAGCCTCATTGAACTCACCCTATCACACTCAAAACTAAAGGAGGATCCCATGACGCCTTTGAAAGATTTTCCAAATCTTCAAACACTGTGTTTACTCGCAGAGTCATATGTAGGAACAACTATGGTTTGCGAATCTCAAAGCTTTCCTCAGCTTCGGGTATTAAAATTGTGGGTGCTAGAGCAATTAGATGAATGGATTATAGAGCCAGGAGCACTCCCGTGTCTCAGACAGCTGGAAGTCAGATCATGTCCGCGCCTGAAAATGCTTCCTGATGGACTAAAACATGTCAACACTCTACTTGAGTTGAAGTTAACAAACATGCCAAAGGAAATCAACGCTGGCATGCATAACATCCCACCTAATTGCCAAATCGTCTAAAGCAATTTTCAGTAGAATTTTATCACTGCGTGGAAATTATTGCGGAATGGTGAGTACCGAATTGCCTCAGTTTTTGCATGTTAGTTTGCTTTCTTTCCTTTTTAACTGAAACTTACTAGTTTAATCATGCAAAATAATTCTTGGCAGTGAAGGAAGCCTTACTTGGTTGCTTTGAGCGTAAATTGAACTGCGCCTCCTGCATCATCTTTGTGGAAGAATTAAAAGATGGTAACTTTCGATTTTTAGTTTAATCATGTTGCTTTCCTTGACTGTGTTATGGAATTTAAATCTCGTGTAACATTAATTAGTACTAGGACAAGCTATTTTCCAATATTGCATTCTGCTGTGTAATTCAAAACTTGATCAGTGACAGGAGCATAGTAAGTGTTCTGGTTTGTATGTCTGCAGTGGAGTTTAATTTATCTTATCATAAGAAGACTAAAATTTGTTTATTGCTATGAATCCAGCGAAATACTTGCATGAAAACGCCCCTAAATTTATATTCTTAGAAACATTTAATAAGAAAAGAGAAAATTTAAAATTTAATTTTTTTTTAATTGAAATCATGGAGTGGTTGTAATATGAAAGAGAGAAATTTTTATTTTTATTTTTTATTTAATTAAAAAATTGGTTGTGTGTATAACTCCGTGTTATAGGTTTCTCTCAAAAAATTTCCATAAATCCATCTATATTAAAAACCAATTTATTTTTTTTCAATTTTAATTTTGGTCCTTAATTCCACTTTAAACTTCAAAACTATTTTTAAATGGAGCAAGGAGCCAAAATTCAGAAACAATTGAACCGAGGACCAAAACCTAATTTTTCAAATAATGGGATCAATTTTAAAATAAAAAGAAATAGTATAACCAAAAGTGAATTTAAATTTTTAAGTGAACTATATAAAATGGTTAAATATGTTTTTAATTCTTGCAAATTAGGGGTGTAAAACAAAATAATCAAAATCAAAACTAAAATAAGATAGTATGTTTGCAAAAATAAAATAGTTTTTAGAGTAAAATCAATGACTATTTGCATATCAAAGCCTTTATAAAATTATATTTAAAAAGGAAACAAGATTTGTAGATGTTAAAAACGGTAACAAAAAATGGTATGTAATCAAGAGAATAGAAAGGCAAATAATGAATATTGGAATACCATGGTAACATGTAGAGGGATTCTATATGTTGGTTAAATCAGATCATATCAGCTTTCTTCAAGAAAGCAAATATAAACCAAATTGCATGCTATATTAATATTTTGATCAGATATATTTTCGACTTAAAATTAATCCAAACTTAACGAAGAACACCCATGACAGGGAAGGTTGCCGAAATCCTGCGTTAGTTATAAATGTGGCAGTATTCCAAATTAAGCTACTCAGTTTTCAATATACAAAATTAGACAAGTTGATTCCAGTTCTATTCCCATCTACTTAAAAGACAGGAAACTGACATGGAATTAAGCACTTAATTAGTCCTACAAATTAGGAGTCAAAGACAATGTCGTCTCTTTACAATGTCCTACCTACATTCCATACCTTGCTATTCCTTGAGGATTCACTTGGGCTAAATGAATGCCTTGACTTCTCATGTTAGTTTCACTCCATATCAAAGGTGATACCGTCGAGTCCAATCCCACCATCCTCTTTGTCCCGCCGGGTGATCCTTCCAGGGTTAACCCCCTTAGACTCTCCAGGGATGTTAGGCAACTTTCAGTGGAACAGTTAGCCCCTTGAGGCTGGAGAATGTAAGGTATGTCTGAAACATGCATTCCACCTAGTTCGTTACTTGGTAGTTCTTGATATTTTTGGATGTCTGTGTCTAGAGTTGAGTCGCCAATAAATTGATCAGCCAACATCTTACAAGCTCTCTCAAGCATGGCCATATACCGCCGCTCTGCATCTTGGCGAATTAGTAGGTGCTTCTCTGCCTGCAATACCATATCATTTGTTAATAGCAAGCATTCGGATACACTTTTATAAGACATAATAAGATAAATTCTTTGATAAAACTGTAAATCAACCATCATCAGTTACAAAAAGTCGAGGACGTCTAAGCCACAAACTACAACCATATGATATATTCTCCTTACTTCATAACATATGTCTCCTCCACACATGTCCAAACAATCTTAAGTCAAGATTCGACCATCTTTGCTACAATAGGTGTTACCTCAACTATATTTAAAGCTCACATTAATTATCTTACTTCATTTAGAATTTTTTATACCAATCAAAATGGTCTAAAATGAATATAACCAAAACAATAATACACTGGGCACCATACCATGAAAAGGAAATTTACCTCCACTAGTAAATGTAGCTTACTTTGCACCTCCATTTGGGCTCTTAAAGCCTCCTTGACTTCATGACCCCTATACATGACATTGCAATTCTCAACTAGGTCATCAAGTACCACACTGGCATAAATGGAGGAATAAATTGTATCTAAAGAAACCATGAAACTCTTACTCGTTTGCATCAGAAGCTAGTAACTTAGGAGATGAGTTTTCAGTACCAGGGCTTTCTAGAAGATATGAACCTGATATTCCTTCCATAAAATTTCAATGTGGTAAGAAAAGCATAGACTTTAACCAAAAAAAAACACCCTTAACCAATCTATTGAAAAGGAGGCTGACAGTGATATATAACTAGAAAATTCTATATTAAGTAACTCTGATGAGTGGCATATAATTCAAAATGTAGAGGGAAAAATGTACCATCTTTGCATCCCTCGTCAGAATCTTTTCCAGCTTGTTTACCAAGCCTGTACTTCTGCAATGCAGTAAAGAATAATGTAACACAACAAAAGAATATCATAAAGTTTCTATTGCAACAATGATATACGGAAATGAACCTGAAGATGACTCTTTAAGTGATAGAGTGTCAAACCCTTGACATTCATGGTCCTCATGATCGCTTTCGGTGTGGCTTCTACAAATGATAATTTTAATAATATAATAATTGAGAGGACAAATAGATGCAGTTAGAAGAGTTTGCAGATAGAGGACTGCCCATAATTAGAGTTAGAGAGGTGTATATTACTCACATACCATGATAGGTAAATTTTTAAAGAATTCTTAGAAAATATTCACAAATCATAGCATAACCCCACTACAAAGTGACAAAAGAATAAATGCCAAGAAATTTTATTTTTGGCTTTTCTACTTATTTATGGTCCTTAACGCCTTTAAATAACTATAGCTTGAGATTGAATTTTTAACACTTTTAAAAGCTAAAAAACACTATCTGAATAAAAAATTAATGTTAAAAAAAAAATTACGCTTTTGTTTGAATTTAATGTTGTCTTAAATTGTTTGTTGAACTATTTCATTCCGCAGTAATTTTGCTGAAATTTATTAATTGCAGCTTGAGAGAGCGCCCAAGTCAAGTCTTCCAACCAAACAAAACTAGATGAAGCAAATGCATTGGTGGATGGAATTGACTTCTCTTCAATTCCATCCTCCAATGCATTTACTTCATCTAGCTTTATTTGGTTGGAAGACTTGACTTGCACGCAAAGCTCTCAAGCTGCAATTAATAAATTTCAGCAAAATTGCTACAAAACAAAATAGTTCAACAAAATTTTTAACACAACCTTAAATTCAAATGAAACCAAGTCCTCCAAATTCTAAAGACATACAAATGAAAAACCCTCCTCCCACAGAGAACTTCATAATTAATAAGGTTGAGGTAGCAATTAATGAAAGCATTATTCGCACCTCAACTATGGACAATCGTGGTATATGTTACGCAAATGCTAATTATTGTTTATACACCCTTGGTAAAGTCAGTTTTCTTTTCAGAAGAATATTTCATTACAAAGGTTTAGTTGTATTTTTCCCAAACCAATGATGTCCCTTTACTATTAAAATTAAGCAAATCTGGTCCACCCATCCATTAAATTCTCAGTAGTAAGACCCTAAGATTCTCCTTTTTTATTTGTATATTTGGAATTTATTTGACATATGAAAGCAATACAAAACACTAAATTGAACTAACAAATAAAAAAATTGGGGACCAAAATCACTCATTAGCCACCAAATAGAGACTAGAAGTACAATTATATCTATCAAAGAAAGAAAACAAAGTAGCACAAGTACATGGAATGTATGCATTATGCATCTATTTTAATGACACAAATACAAAATTATTCATATGAACAAACTACAAGAATGATGCATAGCAACATACAAATATGAAACAAAACCCTATATGCTGTAGTGACCAGTGGTTTCTACATCATTCACAATAAATGAACTAAACACCTTATTAGGATGAAACAAAAATAATTACAAATTAATGAAATTTGCAACAAATTTCACAAGAGTTGAAAAAGAACATAAAGGCCCTTCCTTTCCTAACTTCAATAGTTCATGGCTATTAAACAAAAGTTAAGCATGTGTTTGAAAACTTTAGAAATCAAGTGTGCTTTCACCGCAAGCCTCGAGAGTCACTTTTTCCTTTTCAAAAATGAATCAATTCTAGAATCAAAATCAATTCTGCTTTTAGAATACCAAACATGTCAAAATCAATTTTATGCCTCCAGAATCACTTTTGGCTTTCTCAAAAGTGGAACCAAACATACACATTCTCCAAACAAAACTCACAGCAAAAGTAAATTAGTAAATCAACCAAATGGGGTGCATCAAAACACAATCAAGAAAACATGATTAACCTACACAAAACAAGAGTATAAAAACTTAAGAAGAAACATGAAAATAATGTGAGGTGGGAGAGAGAAATGAGTTACTGCTTGGTCCACCGAGTTGGGTAACAGCATCAACAAAGCGTTGGTGAAGGTCAGTAGTCCAACGAAGACGAGGTTTTGGATCAGAAGTGAGAACAAGACAAGGGTCTGCAAGGTGACTGTGTTGATGATTTGTGTCTTCATGAACAACACCAACACTTCCTTCATGGTCGTGAGGACGTAACAACCTAGAAAACATCTTCCTGTGATGAAACCCCAGAAATGGAAGAAGAAGAAATAATAATGAAATTTTTATTAGTATTATAGAAAGAGAAATGGATGGAGATAGTGATGAGACATTTGGTGAAAGAGTGAAAATTGGGAAATGGGTGAAGTGAAAAGAACAAGACTTTGGTTTTGGGAAGAGAAGCCTAGCAAAGCAAATGGAGCTGACACTGTCACGCTTTACTGTGATTTTGTCACTTTCTGCACTCTTTTTGCTTTTTTCACATTATAAATACTATACGAAAAATCAATGGCTTTCTTTTGCCCCTTTGTGTTTTCCCTCCAATCATTTTTATGTGGGGTTTAGTTTAGGGTTCTTACGAGTGTGGAGTATTGTTACTCTTCTTTTTTATTTCTGTTTTTATTTTTTCTATACATTTTGTACAAATCGCCTCTATATTAAATGTAGATATTTAAATCTAATATTTTGGATTTTTCAAAAAAAATTATAACATTTTGGATGTGTGTGCAATTGTCCTATATACACAAGTAAAAAAGCTATATTTTTGGTTTTATAAATGTGTATCAGATTTTATTCAAAATCATGACAAATCTCATAAAAAAATGCATTGTGTATTTTGATTTTACCTGATCAAAAAGGAATCAGCAGTCTGCCACGCGTGGTGAGCTCTTGTATTCATTGGTGTTGAAGAGGAGGAGGGGATGTACCTGCAAGGTACTCCGATAACTAAGTGAGTAATGGAATTTTAGAAAAGCAAGTACAAAGAGATTAGGTGTGTATAATGGAATATCTGGCCCTCTAGTAAAATAGGGTATTTATAATGTGCCCCCAGCACAAGACCAATAGTTACTTTGCATTTGGTTGGATTGCAAGGCCTAATACAAGTAACTATTAGAGCTTACGTGGCGTAAGGAAGATCATCACGTGGTCTTCGTCCTGGATCAACTGCCCCGTAATCTTCGGAAGGTAGGATGACCAGTTCTTTTGGAAGTGGGTAGTTGCTTTATAACATGTTCCCGCGTAGGGAGCACGTGGAGTCCGTGGAGGAGACGCGTGGGAGTTCCACGTGCTATGTAGTGGTCTGTCCGACTACAGTATTGCGCGTGTCTGACATGGAAGAATTGGGCCTTGTTGTTAGAACAAGATTTGGTTATGCAAGATATCTCTAAATTTTGATAATAACAAAGTGGTATTTGTGTGAGAACAATTTTGTTACTCTAACGTTTGTTTTTCTTAAGAATTAACAAACAGATTCTGACTCTGATAGAGAAAGCTCTGACTCTGATAGAGATCATATTCAACAATTCCTTTGATCTGACCAAAGTCGCTTTTCCGCTACAAGAAGTAAGTCTGCTTCTGATCTACTCTCATTCAGAAAAATTCTAAGAAGACAATATGTTGTTGCTGCAATGTTCTCTTAGTTTCTGCTTTTGATCATGACTTTGATACCTTACTTCTGAAGGCTTTCAAGCTTCTGAAGTCATTATCTTCTGAAAACTAATTGTTGAAGACTCTAAAGAGAAGGTTCTGTTGAACGAAGTTCTGAAGACTTGAGTTTTTGAAGAATAAGTGTTGAAGACTATGAAGATAAAGTACTGTTGAACGTCGTTCTGAATACTCTGAAGACTTAAGTTACAAATAACCAAAGGTTGTGAAGACTGTGTGCTTATAGTTCTGAAGACAAGGTTCTGGTGAACAAGTTCTGAAGACTCTGAACTCTGAAGACCTACTTATCAACTCTTTTACTCATGCTTCAATCATCTCTATTCAGAAGCCTCTGATGTAAAGAAGAAAAGCTCAAACGTCTACGAGGGGAAATAGTACATAGTACGTTTTTAAAGTCTTATTCCACTATCCTTAAAGTCTCATCCCTGTGTAACGACATTATTTCAAGTCGCCAGCTACCTAAAGGATATTCCTGATCTGCTTTCCAACGGATCTTTTTCTGGCTATATAAGGACTTGATTACTTGAAGAAATTAAGAAGCTTTACAACGATTAATACAAAGGTTACACTTTGATTGAAAGCAGTCCATGAAGAACTGAAGTTGCAGTCTTGAAGCACCACAATACAAAGAAAAATATTGTTCATGTCCCATTGGAGGAGAGGAGTAGCAATTGATTCCTAGGAACAATAAGATATTATCCGAAATATCAAAGGATTCTTGAAGAGTTCGAACCAAAAGGGTATTAAAAAGAAAAAAAGATACATTGTTCAAATTTCATTTCTATCCACCAATTGGAATATCAGAATAGTGGATATAGTTCTGATTCAATAGGTTAGGTCCACTTACTTTTTTTAGAATCTTTCCCTTTATTGGATTGGAAGAATCCAAAATAGAAGTATATAACAATAATTAATGTCTTTAAGACGTTCGAGCTATTAATAGTGTTTATATCTGCTTGCTTAGAAGCAATTTCATTGTAAACATCTTCGTTCAAACTATTGTTTGTAACTCCTTAAGGGACCAGTTAGGTCTGAATCCTTAAGAAGAGATGGTTGTTTGTATTGTTAGTCACCAGCGGTTGTTTGTACAGATTGTAATTCCTTAAGAGACCAGTTGGGTCATAATCCTTAAGAAGAGACAGTTGTCTGTGTTATTAGTCACCAGTGGTTGCTAGTGCATTGTAATCTGTTGATTATAGTGCATTAAGTCCTTGTGTATAAGGCGAAATCACCTTGGCGGGTGAACTGGATTAGCTTGATAGTTTTCAAGTGAACCAGGATATATCGTGTGTCTTTCTTTCTTGATTAGTCTATTTGTGATCTTTATTTGAGTTTCACAAAAAGATTTCATTTTTGAAAACCCAATTCAAACCCCCATTTCTTGTGTTTTTCTCACACCTTTAATTGGCATCAGAACTATGGTTCTGATTGTGATAAAAAGTTTTATCAACACTTCACCGTGTTCAGTACTGATCCAGTATTTGTGTGAGATATCATGGCTACAGCTAATGTTAATCATATTCAAGATGAGAAATATCATTACAGTGTCAAACCACCAGTCTTTGATGGTGAAAAGTTTGACTACTGGAAAGATAAAAATTGAAAGTTTCTTTCTTGGTTATGACGTAGATCTTTAGGGTCTCGTAGTTGATGGTTATACTCACCTATTTGATGCTGAAGGAGTAAAAGTATCAGGAAGTGAAATGACCAACCAACAAAAGAAAGATTACAAGAATCATCACAAGGCAAGAACTATACTATTGAATGTTATCTCTTATACTAAGTATGAGAAGATAACAAACAGAAATACTGCCAAGTCTATTTTTGATTCTCTAAGAATGACTCATGAAGGAAATGCTCAAGTTAAAGAGACAAAGGTGTTTGCCTTAACCCAGAAATATGAGGCATTCAAAATGAAGGATGATGAAACAGCTGAGAATATGTTTTCAAGATTTCAAATGCTAGTCGTAGGACTTAAAGTTTTGAACAAAGGATACTCAACTGCTGTTCATGTTAAAAAGATCATCAGAAGCCTTCCCAAGAAATGGATAACTAAGGTAAATTCTCTCAAACTATCCAAGGATCTGAATAGTATAAGTCTTGAAGAACTTATTAGTTCTTTAAGAAGTCATGAGATAGAGCTAGAGCAAGATGAACCTCAGAAGAAGAATAAATATATTTCTCTTAAGTCTAAACCTGAAAAGGAAAAGGCTTATCAAGCTAAGGAAAAATCAGAAGATTCTGATGAAGACTTAGAAGACGAGCTATCATTTATCTCCATAAGGGTCAACAAACTCTGGAAATATAGGCAAGGAAAGTTCAGAGGATTAAGAAGAAATAAAAGTCGTGTTCACTCATCATTTGGATAGAAGAAGCAGAGCTCTGGAAAAGAAGTCATCTGCTATGAGTGTAATGAGCTAGGTAATTACAAGAATTATTTTCCAAATCTTAAAGGCAAGAAGCCAAATAAGAACTTCACCAAAGTCAAGAAGGGACTCATGGCAACTTGGGACGACTATGATTCTAAAGAAGAAGAATTTGATGAAGAACAGATAAATGTTGCACTAGTGGCAACAACAGTTAACATTGAGGTCTCTGAAGAGCCAGAAGACAAAACACTATCAGAATCAGAATCAGACTCATACTCAAGGTATTAACTAAACTCTCTCGTTGTGAATTAGAGTCTTATCTTTCAGAAATGCTGGAAAAATATCAAACTCTTCAAAGTACATATAAGGATCTTAAAAAATCTCATGTAATTACTTTTGAAGCCAGAGATAAGCTTGAATAGAATAATTCTTCTTTGAATGAAAATGTTTTTTCTTTAAAAAATAGTAATTGTGCCTTAAAAAAGCAAAGTTTCTAAACTAGAAGAAGAATTAGTCTCAAATGTCTCTGATACTTGTTATGTAAATAAATATGATAGAGCATTCCAGCACTTTCTAGCTAAAAGCATAGATAGAAGTAAGATTGCTTCCATGATCTATGGAGTTAGCAGAAATGGTAAGAAAGGTTTGAGGTGTACATAATCATTTGAATATGATGAAAGTCAACCTGTAAAACCAAAACCTCTCCATGATCATTTTGTGCCCTCTGGCACTGAGCTTGTGAAAGCACCTTCACAGACACAAAAGTCTATTTCTAAATCTAAATATCATGCACAAATTCCACTTGATTATCCTGTTGCACATAAACCCAAAGTTATTAAATACTCTGGAAAAACTAACAAGAGAGGACCCAGAAAGTGGGTACCTAAGGATAAGATTATCTATGTTGCAGATATCCTTGGCAATTCAGTTGAAACACCAATCATGGTATGTGGACAGTGGTTGCTCGTGACACGTGATTGGAAGAAGGTATATGTTCCAAAGTTTGGAACTTAAGCCTGGAGACTTCGTCGATTTCGGAGGAAACCAGAAGGGTAAAATCATTGGCTTTGGAATTATTGATAATGGTAAACTTCCTTCTATTACTAATGTTCTTTTAGTCGATGGTTTGATGCATAACTTATTGTCTATTATCCAACTTAGTGATAATGGTTATGATATCATTCTTAATCAAAATTC